TCTTTTTTTTTTTTTTTTTTTTTTTTTTGGGATGGAGTTTCGCTCTTGTTACCCAGGCTGGAGTGCAATGGCGCGATCTCGGCTCACCGCAACCTCCGCCTCCTGGGTTCAGGCAATTCTCCTGCCTCAGCTTCCTGAGTAGCTGGGATTACAGGCACGCACCACCATGCCCAGCTAATTTTTTGTATTTTTAGTAGAGACGGGGTTTCACCGTGTTGACCAGGATGGTCTCGATCTCTTGACCTCGTGATCCGCCCGCCTCGGCCTCCCAAAGTGCTGGGATTACAGGCTTGAGCCACCGCGCCCGGCCGTGCAGGCAGTTCTTAATTTTTTTACCTTTTTTCTTTTGAGGGAGGGTCTTGCTGTGTCACTCAGGTTGGAGTTCAGTGGTGCAATCATAGCTCTCTGCAGCCTCACAGTCTTGAGATCAAGCAATCCTTCTGTCTCAGCCTCCTGAGTAGGTAGGACTACTGGCGTGCACCACCAGACCCAGCTAGTTTTATTAAATTTTTGTAAGCCGGGCGCGGTGGCTCAAGCTTGTAATCCCAGCACTTTGGGAGGCCGAGGCGGGTGGATCGCGAGGTCAAGAGATCGAGACCATCCTGGTCAACATGGTGAAACACCGTCTCTACTAAAAATACAAAAAATTAGCTGGGCATGGTGGTGCATGCCTGTAATCCCAGCTACTCAGGAGGCTGAGGCAGGAGAATTGCCTGAACCCAGGAGGCGGAGGTTGCAGTGAGCCGAGATCGCGCCATTGCACTCCAACCTGGGTAACGTGAGTGAAACTCTGTCTCAAAAAAAGAAAAAAAAAAAAAATTTTTTTTTGTAGAGGTGGGATGTGGCTGTGTTGCCCAGGCTGGCCTCAAACTCCTGGTCTTAAGGGATCCTCCCACTCTGCCTCCTAAAGTGCTGGTAAACAGGCATGAGCCACTGTGTCCACCTATTAGCATATTTTAAACATTAGAACTAAACATAAAAGTTTTCCTTATCCTTTCCACCCTATTCTAATCTCAATGTCACTTTCAACCTGTTCCTATCCATCCCCTGTAGGTAATGAACCTTGCTTTCTGAATACTGTATTTTCTTGTAAAAATGAACATATAAATACATTTTTTAATTGCCCTTTTTTTTTTTTTTTTTTTTTGAGACGGAGTTTCGCTCTTGTTACCCAGGCTGGAGTGCAATGGCGCGATCTCGGCTCACCGCAACCTCCGCCTCCTGGGTTCAGGCAATTATCCTGCCTCAGCCTCCTGAGCAGCTGGGACTACAGGCACGCGCCACCATGCCCAGCTAATGTTTTGTATTTTTAGTAGAGACGGGGTTTCACCATGTTGACCAGGATGGTCTCGATCTCTTGACCTCGTGATCCACCCGCCTCGGCCTCCCAAAGTGCTGGGATTACAGGCTTGAGCCACCGCGCCCGGCCCCGACATATTTATCTGATCTTAAAATGGCAAGACGTTTTGTTAGCTCTAAAATCAGTTAGCAGCCATCTTTTGAACTCTAGTTTCTATTTCTGCCACGTTTTTTCCTGAGATCAATTTAATTTCTGTAGTTTTCAGGTTTTAAATGCTGTCCTCATCATTTAAAACAGTAATTTAATTTATTGGGTGGAATTTTATACAGTTAAAAAAAATTTGTAGAGATGGTAATATAGTTTGGATATGTGTCCCCACCCAAATCTCATGTTCAACTGTAATTCCCAATGTTGAGTTAGGGCCTGGTGGGAGGTGACTGCATCATGGAGTAGGGGGCATTTCTAATGAGTGATTTAGCACTACCCGCCTGGGTACTGTCCTCATGATGGTGAGTTCTTGTCACTTGATTTGGTTGTTTAAAGATGTGTAGCACCTCCCCCTCTCTCCTGTTCATGCTTTGGCCATGTGACATGCCTGCCCTTCTGCCTTCTGCTATGATTGTAAGTTTCCTGAGGCCTCCCCAGAAGCCGAGGAGATGCCAGCGACATGCTTCCTGTCCAGTCTGCAGAACTGTGAGCCACAAACCTCTTTTCTTTATAAATTACCCACTGTTCTTTCTTTTTTTTTTTTTGAGACACAGTCTGACTCTGTCGCTCTGGCTGGAATGCAGTGGGGCAATCTCAACTCACTGAAACCTCCACCTCCCAGGTTCAAGCGATTCTCTCACATCAGCCTCCCAAGTAGCTGGGATTACAGGCATGTGCCACCATGCCCGGCTAGTTTTTGTATTTTTAGTAAAGACGGGGTTTCATCATGTTGGTAAGGCTGGTTTCGAACTCCTGACCTCAGGTGATCCACACGCCTTGGCCTCTCAAAGTGCTGGGATTACAGACGTGAGCCACCGCACCCAGCGGCAAAAGATATAAATTTTTAAAGTAATACATTTAAAATGAAAAGATGGAAATCCCTATGTCATCTAGAATTTGAAAAGACTTTTTAGGCCAGGCGCCGTGATTCATGCCTGTAATCCCAGCAATTTGGGAGGCCAAGGTGGGCGGATCACTTGAGGTCAGGAGTTCAAGACCAGCATGAACAACATGGCGAACCCCTAGTCTCTACTAAGAATACAAAAATTAGCCGGGCGTGGTGGTACGCGCCTGTAACCCCAACTACTTCGGAGGCTGAGGCAGGAAAATCGCTTGAATCTGGGAGACAGAGGTTGCAGTGAGCCGAGATGTTGCCACTGCACTCCAGCCTTGGCGACAGAGTGAGACTTAGTCTCAAAAAAAAAAAAAAAGGCCGGGCGCGGTGGCTCACGCCTGTAATCCCAGCACTTTGGGAGGCCGAGGCGGGTGGATCACGAGGTCAAGAAATCGAGACCATCCTGGTCAACACGGTGAAACCACGTCTCTACTAAAAAAATACAAAAAATTAGCTGGGCATGGTGGCGCGTGCCTGTAATCCCAGCTACTGAGGAGGCTGAGGCAGGAGAATTGCCTGAACCCAGGAGGCGGAGGTTGCGGTGAGCCAGGATCGCGCCACTGCACTCCCGCCTGGGGAAAAAAAGCGAAAAACCCGGCGCCAAAAAAAAAAAAAAAAAAAGCTTTAAAACAAAGCAGAAAACCCAGTAACTTTTTTTAAAAAAAACAATTCTTTTGGCTGCATAAAAAAATGTTTTTTACATCAAATGTTTAAATAGTAACATAGCAAAATACGTAGTTCTCACTTTTCTAGATACATAACACTTTGGCCCCTTCCCCTACGGCCCGGCCCCTGCGGCCTCGCCCACAGTCCGAGCTGTAACTTCAACCGTGTCCTCCGGGCCTGGCCCCACCTTCCTCCCCGGCCCCGACGGATGGCCACGGCCCCTGCCCCTGCCCCTGCCCCTGCCGGTAGCCCCGCCTGCAGGCCTGGCTCTAACCTCGAAATGCCCTCTGGGCTCCTTTCTGCCTACAGCCCACCCCAAGGTCCTCCGCAGCCAAGCAGGAGGGAACTAGAATTCTCTGCCTCGGGAGGCTAGTCTCGAAAATCCAGCGGGTTAGAGGCAGGGAGCGGGGAGCGGAAATGACGTCAGCGGCGCGCCGTTCTTTCCGTGACGCCAGCTGTTCGCGCTTGAGAGCTTTTTTGCCTTCGGAGTTGGGGTCTCTCTGGCGTTGGTGAGTTCCGCCGAGATGGGGTGACGTTGGGGTGAAGGACGGGTTTGGCCTGGACCTTAGCGAGGCTTGTCCCGCCTCGCTTGCGTTCGTCGGGGCCGGTTGCTTCCGCTCGGTTCGTCACTCCCCGGGAGGAGCCGGGTCGCTAGTTGCGGTGTCCACTGTGCCCTCCTCTCCAAAGGTCTTCAAAGCAGCGTTTGTGAATTTTTTTTCAGCAGGAAAATGATTTCCGCTTTTTGCATCCATGTTGGTTCCGTCCCCAGGGTCCTCCCGGCTCAGGGACCCGGCGATTTTTGTGTTCTGGTAAGCACTGGGTGAAAGTTGTTCTAGGTGGCCTTTTGTGTCTCTTCTTATGCAAATGAATGTTTCATTTGTAAATTTGGTTTCGTCTTTATGCGTTGTATTTTGTTTTTGACCATTACTTTCATGGAGAAAGATAAAGATTATTTTTTAGGTTTATAGGGTGTGCATATTTGTGTGTGTGAATATAAACGTTTGTAGACCGCACGTCTTTCTGCTAAAGAATACTAAGAATACTCTCCGGTCTTTTTTTTTTTTTTTTTAAATGTGTTTGAAATTAAAAAAAAAAAATACTAAGAATCATAACTCATTCTCTTCGAATGAAGTTCCCAGGTCTGTACATCCCAAGAGAGCTTTGTAATCAGAGCTCCAGCAGAAAAGGATGAAATCTTCATTATTCTAGCCTCAGAATCATCAAATTGACAATTAACAGGATGGTTGGATTAAGTGTTTTTTCCCCCATATTTCTCTTTTGAAAAATCTTAAACGTATTCATAATTTGACCATTCAATGTCCATTGTAATAGATTAACCCATTTTTAGCATTTTGCCCGTTTCCACTTTCCCCAGGTAAATACAGTTCATGGTGAATTAGATCTGATAGTAAATTGAAAGTAAGTACTAGACATAATACTTGATTAAATACTCGGCATTGCATATGTCAAAGATGAGGACATTGCTTTAGTACAGGTAGAATACTATTATTTCATACAAGAAAATGAAAAACTTTAGCGTCATGCAATATCTATCTGTTAGAAAAAAAAAATCTGGGCCAGGCGCTGTGGCTCACGCCTGTAATCTCAGCACTTTGGGAGGCCAAGGCGGATGGATTACTTAAGGTTGTGAGTTCGAGAACAGCCTGACCAACATGGAGAAACCCGGTCTCCTAATAATTCAAAAATTAGCCAGGCGTGGTGCATGCCTGTAATCCCAGCTACCTGGGAGGCTGAGGCGTGAGAATCGCTTGAACCCGGGAGTGGAGGTTGTAGTGAGCTGAGGTCGGCCATTGCACCCCAGCCTGGACAAGAGTGAAACTCCATCTCAAAAAAAAAAAAAAAAAATCTGGGCCAGGCGCTGTGGCTCACGCCTGTAATCCTAGCTCTTTGGGAGGCCAAGGTGAGTGGATCACCTGAAGTCAGGAGTTCAAGACCAGCCTGGCCATCATGGTGAAATCCTATCTTTAAAAAAAAAAGAAAAAAATCTGTACATTTTTCCAAAACAGGGTCTTGACTATTTTTGGATCTAAGATCCATTAAAGATTTCTACATTGCATTTGTTTACATATTTCAGTTTCTTTGAACCAAGAGTAATTGGAGTTTTCACTTTTTTCAGAGCAACACTTTTTTTTTTTTTTTTTTTTTTGAGTCTCACTCTGTTGCCCAGGCTGGAACACAGTGATGTGATCTCGGCTCACTGCAACCTCCACCTCCTGGGTTGAAGTGATTCTCCTGCCTCAGCCTCCTGAGTAGCTGGGATTACAGGCGTGCACCACCATGCCTGGATAATTTTTGTATTTTTAGTAGGGATGGGGTTTCACCATGTTGGTCAGGCTGGTCTGGAACTCCTGACCTTGTGATCCACCTGCCTTGACCTCCCAAAGTGCTGGGATTACAGGCATGAGCCACCTCACCCGACCAAATAAAATTGAACTTTGATGGAAAAAAATCAACCAAATAAATACTATAAAAAGTTAGTTCTCTGTGAAGATGCACATAACAGACCAATTTTAGGCACAGAGTAGTTTGACTTTGCCTCTCTGATAGCATGAGATGGGGATGCAGATTTGTTTGGTTTAAGTGTTTCCAATCAAGGCCCTGTTGAGGCTGTCCAGTACTTAAAGTGTATTGTGAGATTTTTTTTTTATGTGGGTGTGCAAAAATTGTACTTGAATTCAAGTTCTGGCTTACCACTTCAATTTTCTTAATTTGCTTTTTAAAATTTCTTTAGAGATAGGGTTTCGCTATGTTGCCCAGGCTGGTCTCAAACTTCTGGGCTCAAGCAGACCTCTCACCTTGGCCTGCCAAAATGCTGGGATTGCAGGCATGAGCTACTGCCCCAGCCAGTGTATATGTTTGATGACTGATGATTAAGTATGTTTGTTGATTATTGGTAAATTCCAACAGGAATCCCAATAACCCTATATAAAGAGGAATGGAGATTGCTGCTGTTCATTTAGATTAATGAGCTGTCCTGAAGTGATGTTGGCATCAATGAAAGCAGGGTTCTGGCACATTCTCACCTCACAGGATGGCAGCTGTTGATTTGTCCCATGGTAAGTCCTTTTGCTCCTTTTCGGATCCACGGTTCTAGGTTCTCTCTACAGTCCAGTGGTCCAGGCTGCTGGTCACACTGATGATTCATTTGGGAGGTGCTGAGGTGGGCCAGAGTGTGCTGTTTTGTGAGTCAGCCCCAGCCTGGCTGTGAGTTTTGGAAAGAGGTACTGCAGATTCTCCTTCGTGAATTTTATCAGTAAGATAGAGTCAGGAGCTCTGGGTGTCTGTTTCCTTATCTGTGAAATGAGACTGATGTAATTTTCCTGGCAGGCAGCATGGCTCATCACCACCTTTAGGTCTACTGTGGCATTGTATGGCAGCAGGTTGTATGTTTGTGTTTCCTTTCCTTTCCCTTCCCTTCCCTTTCCCTTTTTCCCTTTTTTCATTTTTCCATTTCCCTTTCCTTTCTTTCTTCTCTCTTTCTTTTCTTTCTGTTCTTTTCTTTCTCTTCTCTTCTTTTTTTTCTTTTATTTTCTTTTCTCTTTCCTTTCATCTTGCTCTTTTGCCTAGGCTGGAGTGCAGTGGTGCATTCATAACTCACTGCAGCCTCAAACTCCTGGGCTCAGGCAGTCGTTTCACCTCAGCCTCCCAAGTACCTGGGACTACAGGCACATGCCACCACGGACCTGGCTGATTAAAACAAAATATAGGCTGGGCGCGGTGGCTCATACCTGTAATCCCACCACTTTAGGAGGCTGAGGCGGGTGGATCACAAGGTCAAGAGATCGAGACCATCCTGGCCAACAGGGTGAAACCCCATTTCTACTAAAAAAATACAAGAATTAGCTGGGAGTGGTGGTACGTGCCTGTATTCCCAGCTACTCAGGAGGCTGAGGTAGGAGAATTGCTTGAACACGGGAGGTGGAGGTTGCAGTGAGCCGAGATTGTGCTACTGCACTCCAGCCTGGCAACAGAGCGAGACTCTGTCTCAAAAAAACAAAACAACAACAACAACAACAACAAAATATATATATATATATATATATATATATATATAT